AATGATTTTTTCATATCATAATGAACAGAAAAGTATATCATTAAAGAATTGTTTATTTATAGATTATATTGGTGCAAGTTAACCCTGGGGAGACTCTCACTATCAAGTCTAATGATGGGAACATTCAAAATATACAAGGTCAGTGAAATGTAATTAGATGTATGCTATTTGATGTCAGATAGAATGAATTTAAATATTAGTGTGAAACGACTTTACTAGTATATATCACTTATATCCTTTGCTGTTTGAGCCAAATTGAATGCTTTTAAATTAATATAGTTCTCATAGGGGCTTAGCATCAATGAAATGTCCAGGGCTCATCTTGCTAACCTTGAGACCTTCAAGAGTAAGGTACTTCAAAAAAATCAAAGGATATTAATTCAAGAATTCAGTTTGAAGAAGTCCAGATTTTGGAGATATTAATAACCACTTAGAGTTTTAGACTAGTCTCCTGTAGCCACAGCTGAGGCTTTCAGATTGCTCATCCATTTGTATATTCAACAATTATTTCTTTAGTGCCAGGCTTGCACCAGCACTATACTAGACAGTTAGATACTGTATAATTTTATTATATATATATACCTTACCTTTCTCTCTCTGTCTCTCTCTCTCACTGTCCACTCTGCCTGTCAAAAAAAAAAATATTCTTAAATATCTACTAAACAGAGACAAATACCTTGGGGGTAGTTTAAATCTCTTGTATCACACACACACACATAAATGGTTTCATCCAGGGAAAAATTCATTGCTCTCTGTATCATTCTAATGGCTGGACTGCTTAAGATTTAAAACATAACCCACAATGACATTTAAAAGTAAAGACTGGGGGTCAGCATTGTGGCACAGCAGATTAATCTTCTGCTTGCAATGCTGGCGTCCCGTATAGGAGTGCCACTTCAAGTCTACTTTACTTCCCATTTGGCTTCCTGCTCATGCTTCTGGGAGGGCAGTGGAAGATGGCCCAAATGCTTGGGCCCCTGCCACCTATGCGGGAGACCCAGAAGCAGCTCTGGGCTCCTGCTTTGGCCTAGCACAGCCTTAGCCATTGCGGTCATTTGGGGAGTGAAACAGTGGATGGAAGAATGATCTCTCTCTCTCTCTCCTCTGTAACTTTGCATTTCAAATAAATAAAAAACTAATCTTTAAGGAAAAGAAGATGGAATAAAGGCAATCTATAATTTTCTTGTCTTGAACTCATTTAGCATCTACTTTAAGCATAGCTTTCACCCATTATATAAAAATGAGATGGGTGGGTGTTGTGGCACAGTGTGGTTAAGCCATTGCTTGGGACACCTTCATCTCATGTCAGAGTTCCAGCTCTCTGCTAATGTGCCTAGGCTCAGGTACTTGAGTTCCCGCCACCCATGTAGGGAACCTGGATAGGATTCCTGGCTCCTGGTTTCAGCCTGGCCCAGCCCAGGTCGTTGCAACCATTTGAGGAGTCAAGTAGAAGATTGAAGGATTGAAGATTCTCTCTCACTCTTTCTGTCACTCTGCCTTTCAAATAAATTAACTAATTAATGAGTCTTTTTGTAAAAATGTAAGATAAATAGCTACATAACGAAGGGCAGTTTGACAAAGGCTTGGTTGCCAAGGATTTTCTTTTTAAGTGTAGACAATTTCTTTTCTTTTGTTTTTTAAGATTTATTTTATTTATGTGAAAGACAAGAGTTATAGAGAGAGGTAGAGACAGAGAGAAATATCTTCCATCTGTTGGTTCACTCCCTAAATGGCCACAATGGCCAGAGCTGAGCTGATCTGAAGCCAGGAGCCAGGTCTCCCACATGGGTACAGGGGCCCAAGGACTTGGCCCATCCTCCACTGCTTTCCCAGGTACGTTAGCAGGGAGCTGGATTGGAAGTGGAGCAGCCTGGATTCGAACCCGTGCCCATATGGGATGTCGGTGCTTCAGGCTGGGGCTTTAACCTGCTGTGCCACAGTGCTGGCCCCAGTGTAGAGAATTTCTAAGGTTGCTTTATTTAATACCTTGCTCCCAAAACAATCTGTTATCCATATTATTAGGACGGTCGGTCAATTGACTATTCTATAAGGTGAAGTACCTTTTTCAATGCACTTTACTAATATTGCTTTTCAGGTTCTTGAACTGTCCTGAAAAAAAAAATCCCATAGAAACCTTTATTTTGCTGTTGTATTTTATTTACAAATTTACTTTGTTAACCTATAAATGCAATGCTTTAACAGGAAACAACTCTGAAGAAAGAAAAATGCAAAATGTTGAGTTTGATTTTTACAAGTGAAGTACAAATCCTCAAAAATTCTTCTTAAACTCTCTGTGAACAGAAATAATTCTGACTGAAACTGTGTTTTAATTACTAACAATGTTAAGAGTGTTAATATTTTTATTTTTTGTTAGATATACAGCGTTGCACTTACATGATGTGCTGTTTAAACTTTTTGGGGACATTAACCAATATTTTATAACATTATTTCTTTGAGTAAATGCATAAATGCACCCAGATTAATAAAGCTACACATTTTAAACATATATCTGTTTACATGTGTTTGTTAAATGATCACTCATACACACACACACACACATATATATAAAGCACAATGACAAACTGAATATAATAAAAAATTAAAACATATGAAACAGTAAGTTCCAGAATCAGTCAGGAAAAGGACAGCCAAAATATGTATTTATATTAGCAAATCTCAAAGATCTCTTATAGTCTTGAACGTCTTTACTTAGGCTATATATGCATATGCATTATATATTTATTTTTATTTTTTATTTATTTTTTTATTTTTTGACAGGCAGAGTGGACAGTGAGAGAGAGAGACAGAGAGAAAGGTCTTCCTTTTGCCGTTGGTTCACCCTCCAATGGCTGCCGCGGCCGGAGCGCTGCGGCCAGCGCACCGCGCTGATCCGATAGCAGGAGCCAGGTGCTTCTCCTGGTCTCCATGGGGTGCAGGGCCCAAGCACTTGGGCCATCCTCCACTGCACTCCCGGGCCACAGCAGAGAGCTGGCCTGGAAGAGGGGCAACCGGGACAGAATCCGGCGCCCCGATCGGGACTAGAATCTGGTGTGCCGGCGCCGCAAGGCGGAGGATTAGCCTAGTGAGCCGCGGCGCCGGCCTATGCATTATATATTTTATATTTATATAGAAAAGTTGTGATAGAAAACAAATATATGAATATATCAGCTATATACAGTAAAATAAATGACAATATGTAAACAATGTTTTACATACTGAAGCCAGAGAATACAAGAGAGAATTATTCAAGGTTTCAACCTTCCATGTGTCATATGGAACAATTATTATAGTCCTCAATTTTAAAATTTCCTTTCATAAACTTGAAGGCCTTTTAACAACTGTCTTCCTGCTTCAATAGCAATGTTCTCCTTTAAATAAGGACTTCTGAGGGCATGAAGTTACTATTGCACAAATACTCACCATATAGCCCCAGTTGGAATTTATGTCTGCCTTGAGAGAATGTGGAAGATCAATGACAGTACCAAGTCAGACTCAGGACAGATATATACCCATACAGATACTCTCTGTATGAATATACATACCTATCATTTAGTACAATTTGGAAGAAATGAATACATTCTAAAGACATAGGGAAATGCATAATATGCACTGTTGGATAAAAATGAGTAAATATAAAACTATACATAGCATGCATCCAACTATGATTAATATGTTTATGCACATATATACATATATGCACAGATAATAAATTGATAAAATTAAATGATAAGTTTATTTTGGTGCAAAAAAAGTCAGAATTAATGAATTTGAGATGTCTTAAAAAAAGGTTATGGAACAGGCCAAGTTAACATGCTGACATCCCATATCGAGTGCATGTTTGAGTCCCAGTTGTTCTACTTCTGATCCAGGTTCCTTGCACGTGGAAAGACAGCAGGTGATGGCCCAAGTATTTGGGCCCCTGCCACCCATGTAGAAGAACTGGATAGGGTTCCTGGATCCTGCTTGTGGCCATTTTGAGAGTGAATTAGAGGGTGAAAGATCTCTCTCTCCTTCTGTCTCTCCCTCTATCTCTGTC